CTTCCTTCCGAGGAGTGGCTGGTGGGTTTGAACCGCCAGCCTTCTGGTTAGCAGTCAAGTGCTTTAGCCACTATGCTACCAGAGCTCCTTTTATAGCTATGCATTTTGAGATGGTGATGGGGGTTCACATTTTCCCCAGGAAGCAGTTACTCATAATTGGCGGGCAGCTGCATTGGGTCTGGAATTAATGACAGTTGTGTCGAGATCCAGATTCTCACGTTTCTGGTCCCCGCTGTCAACTTTTATTATTGTTTCCTGTCTCGTGAAAGGGACATAGAGGGTGACAGAACTCAGTTCTTGAAAAGTAGGGGACATGTGCAAATTAATAGACCTGTCACTTCCTGATATCCTAGTGTTCAAGAAAATAGGACCATCTCAGGGCCTTGGATTGTCAGTTCGTTTGTGCAGGTCCTTGGTTCTCCCATGGTGGGCGGGGCTAATGGAAACACTGCCTTCCTGCACTGCTTTCCAGTTGTTCATCCGTTGTCCTGTCTTCCTGAATTGCTTTCTGTGTGTTGACTGTTCCGGTGGGTCTTACGGAAGAAGATGAAATTGTTCACAAGAGTATGATGAACTGAATGAGACCATCTATCTAATTTCTGGTCTGTTTTCTGACTATTCTAGACCATGAACAGAGAGGAAGGAGACTGCCGTCGAGCAGTGGGGGGTGGGGGGTTGATGTTAGTGTGTTGTAAGTCTGGGAGACAGGAAGCAATCAGTGAGGAAGTGAGTGGAGTTAGCAGAGGGATGAGGCTGATGGCTGTGCTTTATACTTCACCTCGATGGAAAACAGGACGTTGTTTCAAGTCCCTATTTATGCGCAATTCTTTGTGAGCCTCCTTCTTCAATCTTTTATACAGTGGAATCCATGGTACCTTCCTGATCCAGAATGTGTTGGCTGTTTTAGGACTCAGTGGTCATGGAGGATGTGGCTGTGGTCTTTACCCAGGAAGAGTGGGCTTTGCTGGATTTTGCTCAGAGGAAACTCTTCAGAGATGTCATGATGGAAACCTGGACAAACCTGGCCTTTGTGGGTAAGAATGGCATGATTTTTTTTTTTTTTTTGTATTATTTCTTTAATGAACAAAAATATCTTAATCATTAACTTTCGTCCAGTATTTGGGCTTAGGAATGGGAATAAATTTTTTAATAAAACAGGTATGGTCCCTTGGTCTGTGGTGCTCATATATCGTGTCTTCCCCATGAACATAAAGAAGAAAAAGGCCCAGTGTCACGTTGATTCCATAATTCCAACACATAGTGGCCTCCACTGGGTTTCCAACGTGCTAAATCTTGATGGAAGTAGATTGTTCCTTCTTCCTCCTGCCCAGAAGCTGGTGGGTTTGAACTGCCAACTTTCTGCTTGTCAGTTAAATGCCTTATCCATTGTGCCAGCAGTTAAAAAAAAAAAAAAAAAGGAAATTCACTCCCATCGAGTTGATTCCAAGTACTAGTGACCCTCCCCTTGGGTTTTGGAGGTGCTCTCTCTATGGAAATAGATTGCCCAGTATTCCTTCCGAGGAGTCAGTGGTGGTTTGAACCTCTAGGCTTCTGGTTAGCAATCACATGCCTTAGGCACTATGCCACCAGAGCTTCTTATGAACAAAAAGCTCTGTACATTCAAGTGAAGTTTTTATGTCTCTTGTATTTAAAAGTCCACAGGCTTTTTCAGTATTGAAATGACAAGCTTTGAAGCACTGAGATTTGTGATTGGGGACCTTATAATGAATTTCACTATAGTAAATTCATGTTTGACTTAATGACTTTGCTGTAAATAAACTCACACTGTCTGCAAAAACGACAAGGAGGCCACATGTTTTGACCTCCTCTAATCCCACAAGAGGAGGACAGGATTACCAGCAGTAACCCAAGGCCTATTACTGCAAGGCAAGACATGCTGCCTCCCCCCTCCAGCCCTTTCTCCAATCGTTCCTCCCAAAGCACCCACCACCTCTCTCCTGGGTTCGATAATTCGCTGCAGTGGCCACACAGAACTCACAGATTATGGGGTTTATTAGGGAAGCACCACAGGCTATAATTCAAGTTCAGGAAAAAATACTCAGTCTCCCAGCCCACCGTCCCTCAGCCAACAGTCTTTCACAGTCTCTTTCCCAGCAGTGCTGGTCCCTCAGTGTCTCACTCAGCAATGCGTGCCTCTTGCATCTCTTTCCCAGCCATGCGTGTCTCAGGAGCCTGTGTCTCTTTCAGCAGCACATCTTCCTCCACCAGCAGTCAGAGAGAGTTCTGCCTCCAGGAGGCCTCCTTTTGAGCCTGGCAGGGTGGTCAAACTAGCCAATCATAGCATCAGAACTCTAAGCACCAGAGAGAGAGTGGGCACCTCCCAGAACATTGTTTTGTGCCACGCCCAACAGAAATACTCCAGGTGGACACCTTCAGCAATCAGGAGCTCCTCAGTTGCTCATAGAAAATCCCACCTTGGAGTTTACAAAGACTTATGGGTAGAAAAGCCACACTAAATAATTTACTACACCGCACTGTCGTATCTGCAGACATTCTGAAGGGCAAAGTATTTTCTCATGACTAGGAAATGTTCCTAGCTCCTCACGGTCTTCTGTCGTGAGACACATTTGTCCACATCAGCTCTACCCATTTGTTTCCAAATGAAGGAAGGATAGAAAGATCTGGGAGCAGTGGAGATAGGACTCCTCCAGGGCCATTGTGTCGGCAAGCACCAGGAAAGCCAGAATTGTGTGAAGGACCAGTCCCACAGGGTGGGAATTCCATATGAATCTGTCAGCCAGAAAAAGACAAGTTGGCTTTGGGTTGAGTACATATTTTAATAGATACCTGAGCTTACTTTTCTGATGAGAGCTATCCTCTCAAACCTCATGTGCTGGATACCCTTTTCTTGTTGTAATATTACAGGTGTACTATCTCCAATAACTTTCTACTTATGTGTCCTGATAACACGTGCTTGTGCCAACATCCCTCTCACTCCTAACAGACGTATTGGCTGCTAACTGGCTTTGCAACCACTTCCAAAGTGTTGAAAGGGTGAAAGTGGCTAAGTCTGTCTTCGTTCACAGCAGCCTTTATTGGTTCAACCCTAATAATTCCTTCCTTTTTGTTTCATGTCGTGATCTTCAAATTGAATGATTGGCTCAGCTTGTCAAAGCATAACTGATGGAGAAAAGTTTTCTAGTGAAGATACCATGCTGCAATTAATGAAGAATAACGCCTGGTTCTCCACATTGGGAGAATTCTCAAAATTGTACAGCAGTAAAGAGCAACATACCAACCAGGGGAAACATTTGAGGTGAGTCAGTCATTCAAACGAGAGAGAAGAATGTCTCAGGAAAAACTCCTATAGTGTTGTGGCATTAATATGAACATACACGTATGTGTGTATACCAGGGCTTCAAACCACTTTGTAATGGTTCAGTAACTGCTTCTGTAAACAAGGGCCATGTACACATTTCATATCAACCACATCAGTTGCCCATTCGATTTTGCCCTGAGTAGAAAACAGTCATAGTTATTCGGCTCAAACATGGCAGCCAGTTCTGATTTGAATGTGTATCACTATCCCTCATCTTCCCATTAGTCAAATATACCTGATCAGGCTCCTGAAACTTTTGGTATATGTATGGAAGACTGGATTATTGGGAGTATTGTAGAGAGTCACACAGATTGAAATCTGCATGATTCCCACCATCTCTGAGTGTGGCTAAGCTGCTTGTATCCTACCTGTGGTAATTAAGTTTGTTTATCAACTGGGCCTGGTTGAGTTGCTGGGCACCTGGATGTAGTATTCCCATGATGAGACTGGTAATGAACTCCATGATGGAATCTACTGTGAGCAGCTGAGTAGCTGCTTTAGGTATGTGGTCTGTTTGCTGTGTATAAGGAGATGTTTTGGGGAGCGGTCTCTAGCTTATAGCATGTTTGAACCCTGCATGTAACAGTGTCGTTGTTCAGTAGCCTGCCATGCTCTGCCAACCTTGGGACTTTCACTGCTCTTGAATTAATGGCCTTCCGTGTAGTTTGGTAACATCAAGACTGTGCCTTTTTACTTGTCAACCTTGGGCTTGTCAGTCTCAGCGACTAGCAGCTGAGTGAAGAAATGCCTCCAGCTTCAGTCAACCGAGAGCAGGATGCAGAGCTGAAGCCCAAGGTTGAGTGGCTTTCAGCCAACCCCTAGAGCTCGGCACATTTCACTCGGACTTAGCTTGCAGAATATAAGAGAAAAAGTCCTGAAGGGTATCATATTTGGTTGCTATGCAATTTGTAAGCTGCCTTTGCTTATATCCGCCAATGCAGAACCATTAAAAATCTGTTCAAAACCCTAACACATGCTAATTTGCACATATATATGTGTAGATGTTAACTTACTGTGAAATTACAAGTTCAGAGAATTTTCACCATACATTTTCATAATGTAAGGAGCTCTGGTAGCATAGTGCCTAATGCATTTGACTGCTAACCAGAAGGCTGGCAGTTCAAACCCAGAAGTCACTCCTTGGAAGGAAGGTTGGGCAATCCACTCCTCTAGTGGTACTGCCTCAGAAAACCCATGGAGGGATCGCTGTGAGTCGGGTTCAATTCAATGGCACATAACAACAACAGTAATACAGATTTCAGGTATTTGAAATATATTTGACTTGGACACAATCCAAAAACCTATTTTAGAAAAACAATGGGCATAGTGGTAGTATTTCTGGTAGAATACTTAACCTGTGAAACATCAGGTAAGTCAAGGCAAAACCTGTACATTCACTGTGTTTGGTGATGGTGAAATGAAAACCAATTTGTTTCCAACAACGTATTGCCTGTTTTTAACAGAACTCATGCAATAGAGAACCTCTGTGAAAGTCATGAAGGTGATCTGTATGGGAAAACTTCCAGTCACATTTCCAATCTGCCTGTGTTACCAAGAAATCTTCCAGAAGTGAAGCCTTTGGAACACTCTGAATGTGGAAAAGCCTTCACGCGTCACTCATCACATGATCATCCTGCCCAGTCTCCCGCTGGATGTAATTCCTGTCGGTGTGAGGAAGGTTGTCCCTCCCAACTAACCACTCCTATGAAAACTCTTCATGGAACGAAGCCCCATAGATGTAAGATATGTAGGAAGGACTTGATTTGTACATCAACCCTTATGGATCCTGTGACAACACTGACTGGTGAGGAGCTCTGTGAAGGTCACGAATTTGGGAAAGATGCCTGTAGTTTGTTATCCTTTAGGATGCCCGTGAAAGGTCATGAGCATGAATGTAAAGCATATTGTGAAGACTCTAGTCATCCTTCATCCCTCATTTCACATAAAAAATTTCATAACAGAGATAAGCATTTTGTAGGCAAGGAATATGGGAGAGCTTTTTCTTTTTCTTCATCTCTCACCAGACATATGCAAACTCACAGTGGGCAGACACCTTACAATAGTAAGGAATGTGAGATAGCCTTTAGTCATTCTTCTTACCTCAGTACACATACAAATCCTCCTACTGGAGAGAGGTCCTACGTATATAAGAAATGTGGGGAAGTCTTTAGTCAGGCCTCACCCCTCCCTACACATAGGCAAACTCACAGTGGGGAGAGGCCTTGTGAATGTAAGGAATGCGAGAAAGATTTTAGTCATGCACCATTTCTCACTGTCCATGTAATTACTCACAGAGGAGAGAGGCCCTGTGAAAGTAAGCAATGTGGGAAAGCCTTTAGTTGTTTCTCATCCCTTACTAAACATAGAAGAACTCACAGTGAGGAGAAGTCTTATGAATGTAAGGACTGTGGGAAAGCCTATAGGCATGCCTCATCCCTCACTACACATATGCGGTCTCACAGTGGAGAGAGGCCATATATATGTAAGGAATGTGGGAAAGCCTTTATGCATGCCTCATCCCTCCCTACACATATGCAGTCTCACGGCGGAGAGAGGCCATATATATGTAAGGAATGTGGGAAAGCCTTTAGGCATGCCTCATCCCTCACTGCACATATGCGGTCTCACAGTGGAGACAAGCCATATATATGTAAGGAATGTGGGAAAGCCTTTATGCATACCTCATCCCTCACTAAACATATGCGGTCTCACAGTGGAGAGAGGCCATATATATGTAAGGAATGTGGGAAAGCCTTTATGCATGCCTCATCCCTCACTACACATATGCGGTCTCACAGCGGAGAGAGGCCATATATATGTAAGGAATGTGGGAAAGCCTTTAGTTATTCATCATCCCTTATTGTACATAGAAGAATTCACAGTGGAGAGAGGCCTTACGTATGTAAGGAATGTGGGAAAGCCTTTAGTCGTTCGTCATACCTTATTGTACATAGAAGAACTCACAGTGGAGAGAGGCCTTATGTATGTAAGGAATGTGGAAAACCCTTTAGTTGTTCATCATCCCTTACTATACATAGAAGAATTCACAGTGGAGAGAGTCCTTATGAATGTAAGGAATATGGGAAAGCCTTTAGTTGTTCTTCATCCCCTAGTGAACACAGAGGAACTCACAGTGGGGAGAAACCGTATGAATGCAAGAAATGTGGGAAAGGTTTTAGTTGTAACTCAGATCTCACTAGACATACGCAAAGTCACAATAGGGTAAGGCCTTATGAATGTAAAGAATGTGGGAAAGGTTTTAGTCTAGGCTCACGTCTCCGTAGACATATGCGAAGTCACAGTGGGGAGAGACTTTATGAATGTAAGGAATGTGGGAAAGGTTTTAGTCGTGCCTCATTTCTCACTGTCCATGTAAGAAATCACACAGGAGAGAGGCCCTATGAATGTAAGCAATGTGGGAAAGCCTTTAGTTGTTTATCATTCCTTACTCAACATAGAAGAACTCACAATGGGGAGGGGCCTTTTGAATGTAAGGAATGTGGAAAAGCCTTTAGGCATGCCTCATCCCTCACTACACATATGCGGACACACAGTGGAGAGAGGCCCTATATATGTAAGGAATGTGGGAAATCCTTTATTCGATCATCAAGCCTTACTATACATAGAAGAATTCACAGTGGAGAGAGACCTCATGTATGTAAGGAATGTGGGAAAGCTTTTAAACAAGTTTCAAACCTCAGTAGACATGGAAGGCTTCACACTGTACAGAGGCCTTCTGAATGTAAGTAATATGGGAAAGAAAATCTTTAGGCACTGCTCTCAGCTCAGTAAACATACAGACACTCAATGGAGAAAGGCTCTATATATGTAAGGTCTGGGAAAACCTTCAAGCAAACCTCACACCTCATCAACATGTAAGTACTAGTGAACAGAGACCATGTGAATGTAAGGACTGTGGAAGAGCCTTTAGTCATTCCTTGTCTCTCTGTCAATGTAACTCATGATGTAGACACTTGATGGATCTAAGAAATGTGCAGAGATTTTGAGGTTTTCCTTATATCTCACCACCTGTGTGAAAACGTACAGTGGGGAGAGGCCCAATGAAGATTACTTTGGTAGTTAAGGTTGTGTGTCAACTTGGCGGAGCCTTGTTGAGTGGTTGGGCAGCTGGATGTACTATTCCCCGTGATGAAACTGGCAACCAACTCATGGTGGAATCTCCCGTGAGCAGCTGAGTAGCTGCTTTAGAGTTGTGGTCTCTTTCTGTATTTAAGAACAGGTATTGGGGAATGTCCTCTAGATTATAGCACACTTGAACCCTGCATGTAGCCACGTCATTGTTCAGCAGCCTGCCATGCTCTGCCAACTGTGGGACTTTCGATGGGCTTGAATTAATGGTCTGCTGTGTGGTTTGGTAACACCAAGACTGTGCGTTTTTCCTTGTCAACCTTGGGCTTGTCAGTCTCAGCAGCCAGCAGCTGTCT